CCTTGCAAAGTTTCTTTAGCCAAATCTGGGTATTGTAACTCTGCGATTTTGTTTTCGGTGTCCAACTACCTACACGCCATCGGTCAAGTTTGGTTTCATCGGCAGCCACCTCGCATTTCATTTTTTAATCAATACCTAGATTGATGGGTGTTTATTCCCAATCAGATTAGAAAAACGATGATTCCAACCTTCGCATTGATTAAACGTGCGTTCTTCTCGGATAGAGTGCTCTCATTCACGTTCCAAGTTTCTGTAGGAAATCGAGGCCCAATTCGACGTGTCTGGGATTGAGAATTGCTTCTTGTGACCTCCCTTGATACCCCATTGATGTAATTTTTATCGAAATATTCAAGAATATCCTTACCATTACTCGGAAACCGATCTAAGGAATGCCATTGCATTGCCCCTATCACATAAAAGAACAAATGCTAAGCTGTTCATCATGCCACAAAAGAAGCTTAGGGCTTCATTGATTCTGTATTGGCTTTCCAGAACTAGCTTTTAAATTTTTCTATGGGTACTTTAGCACAAATAGTAAAAGCATCCTCTGATTATGATGTGATCTCCTAATTGAAAAAATTAATATAAATATTTTAACATATTAATAATCATACCAATGACAGTTTTAACCGCGCTCATAGCAGACTTTTCGAAATCCATGTATATATATAATGGATCAGGAAATAAATCCCGTTCTTAACATTTAGACATTAATACTTCGAATATTTTTTCGTAAGTATTTTGTGTTTTTTGGGGGGTTTAATAGCTGTTAATGATTGTGGCATTCGCTTATAAAATTATTTATCAATATTAATTATTGCTAGGTTATACTAAAAAAATTAAATGAGAATTGAGAAAAGAAAAAAATAAATTGAGAAAAAAATTGACAAGAAAATTTTTTAAAAAAATAACGATTTTTCTTTTTTTTTGAATTTTTTTCAAGGAGTTTTTTTTCCGGTTGTTTTTTTTCCGGGTCCGGGGTTTTTTTTCCTATTACCATTTTTTTTCTTATGTTATTTATTTATATTATTATTATATCTTAATTAGAAATAAAAAAGTAAAGTGTATAATTGTTGATTTTTTGTAGGAAATAAATTATTAAATGCTAAATAATATTATTAGATTATAGTCGTCATAGTTCTTATCTACAAAGAATTAAACCAATATTACATCATAATTACTCGGGATAAGAATAATTATTTACTAAAGAGGGAATTTTTTAAATATTATAGTTATTAACCATTAATGACTAAATGAAATAATTATCTAAAAGAATGACTAAAGAGGGACTATAAAAATACTAAATATATATTAAGTACAGATGAAAAGGAGTGCTAAAGAAAATTCACCCACCATAGCATAGTTTTGATTATTATAACGTCTCCTTTACCTATATAAAATTCAAATAATTGTTTAGATATAATTTCAAAATATTCAGATACCTGCAAAATATTTTATTATTTGAGAAAGATAATGAAGTATATAATTGGTATTCACGACTCAAGTTGGAAGTCTAAAGTAAAAAAATATAAAAAACAGAACAAATATCTTAATTAATAATAACTAATTTGAAATATTTGTCCTCTAGTCGACTCAAGTTGATGACTCAAGTTTATAGAACTATTCGTCCTCTAGTCGATACAAGTATTATTCACGACTCAAGTTAGAAGTCTAAAGTAAAAAAATGTAAAAAACAGAACAAATATCTTAATTAATAATAATTAATTTGAAATATTCGACCTCTTATCGACTCAATTATATAATTTTTATTCACGATTCAGATTAGAAGTCTAAAATAAAAAAATGTAAAAAAACAGAACAAATATCTTAATTAATAATAATTAATTTGAAATACTCTCCTCTAGTCGACTCAATTATATAATTTTTATTCACGATTCAGATTAGAAGTCTAAAATAAAAAATGTAAAAAAACAGAACAAATATCTTAATTAATAATAATTAATTTGAAATACTCGTCCTCTAGTCGACTCAATTATATAATTTTTATTCACGATTCAGATTAGAAGTCTAAAATAAAAAAATGTAAAAAAACAGAACAAATATCTTAATTAATAATAATTAATTTGAAATACTCGTCCTCTAGTCGACTCAAGTTCATAGAACTATTCGTCCTCTAGTCGACTCAAATTGACGACTCAAGTTTATAGAAGTATTTGTCCTCAGTCGACTCAATTATATAATTCTTATTCGCGACTCAAGTTAGAAGTCATAAAAAAACACAAATATCTTAATTAATAATAATAATAAATCTGAAATATTCGTCCTCTAGTCGACACTATGTTTGAGAAAAAATATTGCTAAGAACGTGCCTAAGAAACAGCTTTGAAAAAAACGACTTGTCTGGAAGTGATCTTTATTTGCATAAATTGTACAGTAATTTTTTATATTTAAAATAATTATAAATTTGACACAGTAAAGTTATATTTTAAAGTAAATTGTGTTTCATCTGATTATTATACTGTATAAACATGAAAAATTTAGTTAGGGTAGAAGCTAAAAAAAATTTTTAGCGGGATGAGCCCGAGATGTCATGCCCCTTACTCTAATATGCTGGGATATATTTCTTTGTCAACACATTCTTCTCCTTATTAAATGCTTTAAAAATGGGAAATTCCGAATCCTCATGGATTCCAGCACATATTAAGGCTTTTATTATACCTAATCATATTTAAAATATATTTTAATATTTAACAAATTTAAGAGTTAAATCCAAGAAAACTATTAATACATATAATTGATTTTAGTAAATATAATCAGTTTTGTTAATGATAAATTTATATATATACATTCAATTGAGTTTTTCTATCGAATTTAAGTATGCTAGTAGAGTTTATTTAATAAATGTAATAGACCATGATTAATAAGATTAAAATTACGGAGACAAAGACATTTAAGATATAACGTTATATTCAAAGAACTATTGATTATTTTTTAATTCTGTGGAAAAAAAACTAAATAAATGTATTTGAATATAAAAGATTTTATATATGTATATATAAAAGATTTTATATATGTATATATAAAAATTTTTGCTATCTAATTTAATAACAAATACTCAAATTATTTAGCATATGTAATAAATAGTATATTAGAAAAATTTTATATTGACCAAAACACATTTTACTAAATTTTAAAAAATCATATAAAAAATATTATAAGAGGGGTGGGGGCAAAAGAGGCTGAGGCTCTCATTGAGATCCGAGCTAAGACCTCTGAACACAGTTATTTGAGTTGATTGTAACATTTTAAAAGAATCCCTGATGGCCATTAATTTAATAAAAATTTTTTTACTTAAATCTCTAAAAAATGATAGCCTAGGGTCCATTGGTAGAAATAACTGTTGGGATAAGGGATAAAATAAAAATCTAAAATGTCGTGGTACTTCTTATTTTTGCCTTTCGGCTGTAATATTCGGATCGATGTTTATGTTAGAAGATAATTGGGAAATACAAGTGAAATCCCAAATAAGGTGTCTTCTTTTAAACCAGGAAATATTTGTGAGCCCAACTGGTTTTTCACATCAGACAGGAACAGGTTCCAGTATAGGTAGTTGGCCAACCCTAATTTGTTCGAGATTATAGGGTTACTATGGCGACTGACCGTCCTTTATATAAACAAGTTAGAACATGTCATTCCTTAGGATCTGTTTTTTACGAATCCTCTACATTATGGGGGAGGCAAAGGTCATCATAGCCTAGTATATTGCCAATTTTAAAAATAATTTTCATTGTTTCTTGAACATTATTTTTTCAAGTTCGGGAGAAATTTTGAAAATAAAAAATATTCAGACATCCTAACATTATTTTTGTCCCACTTGTCACCAATATTCTTGGTGTTTTGATGAGGAATTCCTTTTATTACATTATTAGGGAGAAAATTAAACCAAATAAGTGGCGATCGTAATGAAGCCTTCTATTTCAAACGAGCCATTACAATGGCTATTTATCAAAGTAATTGCATTTCTATGCCTGGTTCCATATAACAATTCAAGTAAGCCCTGTCTCATATTTAAATTCATTTTTTGGCACTAATATTAGTTCTTATTTTATTATATTTTTTAGAATCGGTAATATTTTATTTTTAGAGTTTTCATATAAATGCCCTTTTATTTATTAATGAAAAGTAAATCGATTTTGATATCCAAAAAAATTATTTTGTTAGACCAAATTTTATAATATAACATATTTTCTAAATTTGTTTCTTTAACAATTTATTTATTGACATTCTTTTTATTTTATAAAATAAAAAAATTAAACAAATACAGTTTCTAAAAACTGTTATTTATCATTTAATAATGTCAAAATATGAAAATTTTTAATGTGGGAGAAATTAAAAAATTTCGGGGGATTTTAACAGGAGATTTGCGGTAGAGAGTTCTGTGCATGTTGATGTATGAATGACTTTTTACAAGCCTGACAGAAACCCATGTAATATAAAGCCGATCTCTCCATTTAAATTCTTATACCCTCATTAAAGTTACTATTTAAAGGTAATTATCTTTTTATGGCAACTTTTAGAAGTGATGAATAATATAATAATTTTAAATACAAATTGATTTAAATAATAGAGATTAGAGATCTGCAAAAGTAGGCCCGGCCCTAATATTTTTTAAGAAAATTCTTAAATTTTTTTTAAATATTTTTAAAATATATCTAAATTTATCAATTTTATATTGAATTGTTTATGTAAACTAAAAATATGTGATTTTATTTATAGAAAGTAGACGCCATATAACATATATCGTTTATTTTGAGTAATTATAAGAAATAATTTCTATATTTAAATAAATTTTTTTTTGGGGGGGGGCAGCAAAGTTTTTTAAAAAAAATTTCGGGCCGGGCCGGGTTTGAAAAATTAGGCCCGATGCAGATCACTAATAGAGATCAATAAGACATGTGTCTCCTCATCCAACAAACAGATTATTATTATTATTTATACCTAAATCTTATTATATTTAATATTTATCTAAATTTTGATAGGTATTCCTGGTCTTCTTGCTAAGCATAGCATCGCTGATTATATATTTTATCGATGCTTCAAGGTAAAAAATTTATATAAATTATATAAAAGTATAAAATCCATTTTAAGAAAGTCATTAATTTAAATTACTTATTTTAATATTAATATTCATTTTTTTTAAATTAATTATCACGTCTTTTTATTTATGATTTTTATTTTAAAAAAATATCGAAATAAAAATATTTTGACTTTATAAAAACTTTCATTTCAGAGAACATGTCGAATCTTGTAAAGATTGGTCTTCAAGTACAACTCAACAAGTGGATCTAGCTTGCAATATTTTCTTTATGGTTTACTTTTTGATACGAGTAAATATATTTATGATAATTATTATAAAAACTTTGTTTTTGAAAATTATTATTACATATATGTAGTGCTGTAAAAATTTTAAAAAAAATCGAACGCGTTCGCGTTCAACGTTCATTGACAAAAATCGAACGCGTTCACGTTCACGTTCAAATTCAAAAAAAGGAACGCGTTCAAGTTCATGAACGCGTTCATACGTTCAAAATTTTATGATAAATTTTTTTTTAAATTTAATTTAATATAAATAAATGCCTTATATTTTTCAACACAATATATTAGCCATGATAAAAAATAATAGTTTTATTTTGATAATATAATTATAAATACAATATAATAGAGCTATAAAAAATAAATTTATAAAAAAAATTTCTTATTAATTTTTAATAATAATTGCTTTTCAAAATTTTCATCTGATGATAGGCATGAACGCTTGTCAGTTAATACAGCGTTAGCTATACTAAAAACTCGCTCAACAGGGGCGGATGAAGGGATTGCGGTGTTATACTTGATTAACAATTCTTTTAAAAGGGAGAATTTATTAAAAACATTTAATGTTTTATCCATTGTTTCAAAAAATTGAGCTATGTTATCATCCTCCAATCTGCCCTCTTCTTCCTCGTCAAATAAAAAGGATATCTCGGAATTGATTTTTAAACAGTGAAATATTTTTGATATTTGGGCCATGGTAATTTTAATTCATCTAATATTGAATTTTGATTTTCAGAATCTGATGATGAAATATTTATATCCATGCAAATGCTAATCTATTAAATTAAAATATTAAATATTCAAATTAATAAACTTTAATCTTATCTTCTCTAGCAGTAGCACTATGGTACGTTAATTGCAATATGAAAAAGGAAAAACAGCTGATTAAAAAATATAAGACTTTTTTGTTAAAAAATTGGATTAAATATTAATTTTTCAAATAAATAAAAATATAAGACTTTTTTGTTAAAAAATGCGGATTAATATTAATTTTTCAAATAAATAAAAATAAAAAGTGTTTTTAAAATTGAACGAACGTAAAATTGAACGCGTTCATCAAAGAAAAGGAACGCGTTCACGTTCAAAGTTCGTCAAAAAAAAGGGAACGCCGTTCATCACCTTTTTTCAAAAAAACGAACTTCGTTCACGAACGCGTTCAAACACTACATATATGTTGGAAATGTCTTTATATTATTTTTTAAAATATTTTAAAATATTATTACCAAGCGCGTATATTATGAAAAATTTCCCTGGGCGAGGTTAAAAAAACGCATTCATTTTGTCAAGGAAATATTAGACAAAAAACTTCTTTTTATTCATAAATAATCTTACATCCGTTGTTCAAGGTTGGTTTAGGTGGTTTATATAGAAAATGACAAAAGAAAATATAGGAAATAACAAAATGTATTTCGAAGAAAATATTCATGAAAGACATTAAATATCAGTTTGAGATAAATTTCCATAAAAGAAGTTAATTAGTAATTTATTTTAATAATATTTTATACAAATACCAAAATTAATTATTTTTTTGATAATTATGCTTAGGGGAAAAATTATATTTAACCCCGGAATCTCCCTCATTTATCAGCGCTTGATAATCATTAAGAAAATTCTAGATTACTAAGTAAGAAAGACATTTAATTTTTAATTTTATAAATTATGTTTAATTTTGGTCATATTATATTGTTATATTATAACAAAAATTTACAGAAATTTAAATGCTGGAAATTATTTTATGAGTTTTTATTAGTGCTATATTTGTAACGCATTACTATAATCTCCCTAAAACGGCGTTACCATTTTTTATAAGTATGAAATAAAGTAACGCGTTATTTATTACTTTACTCGTTACTTTATATTTTAATATTATTATTTATATCATTTTTATTTTATTAATGTTTGGATTAATGAAACATTAAAACCTTGTTTATATAATATAAAATATTCCTGTCATCTTCCGCGCCTATTGAATCTGGGCGGGGGAGTTCAGTAAATCAAAAGCCTGAGAAATTTATGCAATTTTTTTATAGTAATGATTTCAGTAAGGGAGACCGGGGTTATATTGTCTATAAAAAATTGAAGTAATATAAAAAATAGAAGCAAATTTTCCAAAATTTTATAACTTAGTTTCATTCTTTATATATATCTTTACAGTAGAAATTAATATTTAAGAAAAAAATCTTTAAGTTTTTTAGTAATATAAAAATGAAAATTTAAGAATTATGGAAAACACCCGGAGTACTTATGCGTTGCAAGCGCTTCTTTAATTTTACATTTAAAAATTTATTTTAATATAAAAATGTTAATCCTAAGTAAATAAATTGTCAAATATGTAAAATTTACCATACCTGTTGTTACCACTTAAAACTGTCATATAATTTACAAAATATAATTCAATCATCTTCATATTGTTATTCCTGGCCCTAGGTAAACTCGTGGCTTCTAATGTTCTTATATTTTTTATATTCAAAATAATCCTTGCTAAAAAAATGGCTGAAACACATCCCGCCATTGCTCTAGATCATATTTAATATTAAAAATATTCTCAATATTTTTATACTAATAAAATTGAGTTCTTTATCATTTAGAAGTAATATTAAGTCGGGGTGGGGTAACTTTTATAAAAATAATAAATTAGTAAAAATGTAAAAAATTAAAAAATTTAAAAGTTTAAAAGTTTGGCATGTTAAAATTTAAATTTGCATGTAAAACTTTCATGAGCATATTCTGTCAAACATTTTTAGAACCATTTAAGCCTCTTATTAAAATAAATTTAGGGTTTGTATTTCAAATATCAAAGTTTATCCATTTTAAAATTATTTGAGAAGAAAATACCCGCCCCAGGATGACACTATCCCCGTCTCCCCTACTTTAAAATGTAAAATAACGGCATTTACTAAAAATTAAGATAGATGCAAAGACGTTATTACTTTAGAGTAACGTCGACAGCTCTAGTTTTTATATTATATTAATTAATAATATAAAATATTATAGTTTATAGCGGCCAACGATAAATTATGGTTCTTGTTTGAATTATATTCACTCGTCGATTACTTTACCATTCCACCATCCTTTATGGCCATTTATCTTAACCGGAATTGGATAGGTTTTATTAACTATTATAATTATTTTAAAATAATTTTAAAAAATTATAAAATCATTAATATACAAATTCACATATAGAAATCATTAAGTGAAATGAAGTATTTTTCTTCTAGAATTTATGTAAATAATTATTTTACTAATAATGAAAATTTTAATTTTTCTTTATAATCTTGATGTTCATTAATGGCAAACTAAATTCAATAATTATATTTTTTTAATTATGAAAAAAAATATATTTAGGATTACGTTTTTTAAGAGCTGTAAGATTGATGTCCGTACCTGATATATTGCAATATTTAAATATTTTAAAAACCAGTTTATCGATACGCTTAACTCAACTTGTGTTTTTCTTCATAAGCGTTTGGCTAACAGCTGCGGGAATAATTCACTTGGTTTGTTTACACTTTACAATTATTTTTATAAAAATCTGAATGATATTTTTAATTAGTTAGAAAACTCTGGTGATCCTTTTTACAATTTTGAAAACGTTCACGCCATTACATATTGGGAAGCAACATATTTTGTTCTAGTCACCATGTCCACCGTCGGTTACGGTGATATTCATTGTCAAACTGTATTGGGAAGATTTTTTATCGTTTTCTTCATCATGTTCGGCCTGGTAATGATATTGGGAAAAATTATATATTTAAGTTAATAATTCAATAAATAAACTTGATTATAAAATATAGTAGTGGACTAATTTTATTTTTATTTGCATAAATTCATTTAGAATAATATGTACCGCTTCTATTCGAAGTAATTTTCGCATTAACTCCTACACCGCCTCCCCCTTACATATGACTATGAAGCAAAATACTCCCTTAAAAAAGAAGCAGCAATATTTATAAAATTTGCCGGTTCCCGTTCTAAATCGCTAAAACAAAAATCGCTAAAAATTGGGAACATGGCTTATATCTCCTAGAAAATTTTTAAAGTAAATTTGAAATTATATAAGCCATGTTCCCAATTTTTAGCGATTTTTGTTTTAGCGATTTAGAACCTATCCCAATTTGCCCATACCCTCTTTAATTGTATATTACATACTCAAAATATAGTTTTAAAAAGTCATTTTTATTTTACAATAATAATTACAGATTCTGATTTTAAAAGAATATATTATTTTTTAGTTTAATATTTGAAAAAATAATGAGGGTTTAGCTAATAAATTGCAAACATTTTGATACATTTAGTGTACATCCAAACTCAAAAAACGATTACAAATTTTAGGTTTACATGTCCACTGTACAGATGATGTAAAATGCGTACATTTTTTTAAAAAAATTTAGTTGTGGCCATACCCTTAAATGATATAAAAAAAAATTAAAAAATATATAAATATTTTGAAAAAAAGGAATGAAACATTTCGATCAATTAACGGAAGAAAGAAAGGGCAAACGTAGTTATAACATTATCAATAAATAAGGTTATTTCCATTGATAAAATTCTTAAATTATTTAGAAAGAAGATCATCGCATTTCAAGGTAGAGATTTAACCAGTTTAATTAAAATATTAGTAGTCACATCATCTAGTTTTTCGTAAATCACATCAGAATATAAATTAAGACATTTTTTTATTAATTATTTTAAGTTAAGAATGTCTTCCCGCTATTTGATTTTATATTTGAATGCTACAACTTCATATTTTATTATGTTTTTTTCATGATCAGCCTATTTACCATCCCTTCAACTTTGAAGAAATTTAAACACTTTTTTTAGCTATTGTTTTTCAGCATTGTCTGAATTTTGAATTTGATATGAAAGCCAATGCGAGATAACATAACGTCCAAAAGGAAAGATTTTTCTTAAATAATGATTGAATGAAATTAATATAATATAAAATGTATTTTATTTTGAAATCTAATTATTTTTTACATTATATACAAATTCTTTTGAAGGGGCATTATCGTAGGTACTTTGACATAATTTGATAAAATTGTTTCGAATATATGTATCTCCTCACAAATTTAATGAAGCATTTGCTTCGTTCCTCCCTCCCCTTTCTCTTTGGTTGTAGGAGCCACTGAATTCTCGGGCCTTCATTATATAGATGGACTAGTGTTAGTGCGCTATTTCATTTTATAAAGGCCCATATTTTCCAAAATAATTTTATATAATTTATTATTCGTTCTACTTATGGACATTAATGATATAAATAAGAAAATATATCCTGTATATTTTTGGAGGTACTATTTTTATATCGAGATGTTCAGAAATTTCTCCGAGTTGAATTAAACATTTATTGGGTAATTTGAACTCTCTTAAAAACTAAATAATTATTTAAAAAATAAAACAGCTTTAAAAATAGCGTGTTTCAACTGGTTTAAGTGTAACTAACCTCAGACAACACGCCCCAGGCCTTTATTGCAACTTAAATTTAAAATATACGTATAAAAATTCTATCAATGGATAAATTTGATAAAATTTGATATGTAAATATGATAATAGATTTCTCTATAATATGAGTAATATCCAATTATTAAAATCATAATATAAATGCTTATTAAAGATTATTTAAAAAAGTTAATTTAGTACAAAATCATGTTTTGCTTTATAAAAGTTTTATATTAATCTAAAGTTAAATTTTTATGCAGCATTATCCTTACATTCCATTTGATATATTAGGTAAAATCTTCACCACTATATTTAAGTATTTTAGGAATAAATACAAGTACCAACCAACCTAGGTCTCATACCATTTATGGTCTCATACCATTTATGGTCTCATACCATTTATGGTCTCATACCATGGTCTCCCCTGTAGTTATATGATTAATTATCACTTCTCTGTAAAAACATTCTAAAAAGTATAAATGAATGAAAAAAAATTATTACATTATATATGTTACCTATAAACTGCGTAATCATAAGATACGGCAATTGCTTGATTAATATTTTGGAAAATACTTGTAATTTTAATATAAATTAAAAATAACTCATAAGTTAATGATCAAATTGTCTGAAAATTATAGGATAAGTATTTTACGCATACTGGAATATATTTTTATTTTAAATAAACGCACCTAATATATGCTTTCGCTATTTTCCAACTATAAAATCGTTTAGTTAACGCTTTTTTAAAATTAAACTGATTTTGCTAGTAATATAAATTTCAAGCTTTTTCAAAGGCAATTTTATAAGATATTATACATATTGTCTGATTAAATACAATACCTACGACTTAATAACTAATCTAGTGGTCAGGTAATTATCAGTATATTTATTCCAGAATAAGTTTTTAATATTTAATTATTTAATTTGTTTTATCAAATTAAATAATCACATTATGACAAAATATTTTATAGGCAATGTTTGCGAGTTATATCCCTGAAATTTTTCAATTAATTGGTACTCGGCAAAAATATGGGGGCGAATATGCGCGTGAAAGATGTAAAAGGTCACATTCAAATTTCTATATACTATAATTAACATAATATTTTACGATATAAGATAAATCTTACACGGTAAAAAAAATTTCTCTGACAGGATTATCTTAGCTATTTATAAATGTTTTTAACTTTGGTTCATTTTAATATAATTTAAGGTAATAAAAAAATATAATTAAATAAATTTTTATCTTCTAATTTTCTTTTACTTTCAAGAAATATATAAGAATAATAATAAAAATAACTATTTTTCTTTGTCTTTTATAATGCGATATATACAAAAATATAACAAAAATACAAATAAACATAATGAATATGCTATAAGCAACTAAATTATTTTCTATAGAGATATTTCATAGTGGAACTATAATCAAATATAATATTGTGGAAGCTCTGACTTCCCTTTACGCTAAAACATGCCAACAACTCCCCGTTTATTGTATACTCATTAGAGGCTTCCCTTGCTTCGTTCCGCCCCGGTAAGAGTGTTGTCATCTACCACATTGACTTATAAACTACCATAGTTTTTTAAAAAGTAGAAATCTACTAACTATCACAATTCTACAACATTTTTAAAATTTCTGAAATATATTACAATACAAAATCTCCCACATTCTAAAATTTTTATATAAAAATAGAAAGTATTGCCCAGAAAATATCAAAAAGTCTGTTTTTCCTTGTAATTTAGACATTCTTCACGAACCGGAAAAAGATTTACTGAGGGTCCCAGAGGCGCCTGCGTGACACATAGTCGGTAGAGGAAAGTTACTGAAATGTAGGGGGGTGGGTAAACTAGAATTTTAAAATATGTTTCTGATCTTAACCCTCCTCTAAATGAATATCTTGGTATTTGATGCGGAAATGTTATATTGGAATATTTATTTCGTTTTTAGCGTTTTTATATATTATAGATAGTATTATTATGAAACAGCTTTTTACTTAGAAAATTTATTTTAGGTTACTTAGAGATTACTGTTATGTTAATTAGTATTATTAAAAAGGCTATGAAAAAATTTGTTTAATGTAGTATTGTTATAACCCATTACAATGAAGTAACTAATTACATTTTTGCAAAGAAATAAGTGTAAATAGCTACTTTAAATAAATGTAACTAATAATTGTAACTGGTTACATTTTTGCAAAAAAATAAGTGTAACTAGCTACTTTAAAAAAATGTAACTAATAATTGTAACTGGTTACATTTTTGCAAAAAATAAGTGTAACTAGCTACTTTAAAAAAATATAACTTAACTGTTTACATTTTTATAAAATATAACTACTAAAGTGACCAGTTACTTTTCAAGTTACTTTACATTCTTAGGCCGGGCTGACCCACGGCTCCTATATATTTTCTAGCAGACCTGGGTTTTTGAATTTTTTTTTAATGGGCTGGGGCCTTAATTTTTTAAATCAGATATAGCTTATTTAAAACAGTTGTTAATTTAAAAAAATATTGCAATTTTTTTATTATAATAATAATAAATTTCAGTATTGTATTCAAAATGATAGCCAACACACTTAAATATTGTTTATTTATATTAAATACAATATATTATATTTTTAGATATTGGCTTGGAACGGGCTTGGAAATTTTTTTAAATATTAAATATGGTGCCTGGAACTAAAAAATTTTTTTACTTGTGGGCATGGGCCGGGCTTGATCAAAAGTTTAAGGCCGATGAAGATCTCTGATCTATATATGATAATTTTCTAATAACATTATTGTTGATTAAATATCATGTAATACATCAAGCGCTTCTGTAGAACGTTTGTTTATTAGAGGGAAGTTTATTTTTGAAAATAGTTTATCGTTAACGTTAAATAAAATTGCCCAATTTCTCTGAAAAATAAATATTATATTGTATTGTATATATTATTTTGATAAAAATAAATAATATATTGTGAATTTTTTAGTGCAAATAAATATTATATTGTAATATAGTATTTTCAGTGCAATTATTTATTTATTTAAATTATATTTTAATTTAAATATCTTTGTAAAATTTATAAATCGTAATATTATTTCATATAATATATAAATTAAAAATGATGAGTTAATATAATTTATAAAGTAACTTAAATGTAGCTAGTTACCTTGAATTATAACTATACCAAGTTACTTTTTTAAAATGTAATTAGTACTAGTTACCCATTTGAGAATGTAACACTAACTAGTTACTTTTCAAATAACTTTTTTAAAACGTACGTTTATTTACTATTATTCTTACATGTTTTTTAAAATGAAGTTGAAAAAGTGAAATTTTCATTCCAAAAGAAGGTTTAAAAAAAAAAAAATTAAATATTTAATTTTTCATTAACCGAACAAAGTGTTTTTAGACCTCCTCACCCCATTTTTTTACCAGATTTTTTGTGATAATAAAATAAATGCTAAGGTTATTTGCTCCGTTATATTCTCATAATTCTTTTTCCTCTACTTTTATGAGTAAAAAAAAATATTTGCACTATACCATAATTATTCATAAATAGTATTTTATTAAAATGAGCCCCCCCCCCCCCAACTAAAAATACTATAATCCTTAACCAAGGCATTAACTTCTTAATTAACATCCTTGCATGGCCTATATTTAAAAAAACTTCAAATATAATATTAACCCTCGTCAACTGTGTATTTTCTCTTCTTTTATTTCATACAATTTAAAAAAATTAATAATGATAAAATTAGATTAGTTTTTTCTTTATTTTATTATTTTTAACATTTATTCACTACCTAAATTAAATTTTTCCTTAAAATTATTAAATTTCCTAAATGAATTCCAAATAATGTATATATATTTAAAATTCTCATTCCCTAATAATACTACAAGGTAAAAAAATATTTATTCCATTAAATTTTTTCATAACTATTTATGCCCTCTTTCTTTTACGCACCTTCCCTAAACAGAGGCTCGGGCATCAAAATATATTTCCTCTGATTCTATTACACAATTCAATTTACATATTTTTCAAAAATTTATTTTGTTCATTTTTAATCTCTACTTCTGATATACTCAGAGCAGTTGACTTTGAATTTGATTTTTACCTTGCATGTCTTCCACTTCTAAATTAAATATCACAAATCTCATAAAATTATACGCCACTAATCTCTCTAAAATTATTTTCCCCATTAACACACCACAATGCTAATCCTCTACCGGCCCCTCACTTAATCCGATTGGCCCAATACTCCTGTTTATATTTACAAACCCCCCTCATAAATCTCCACAAAACCCCATCACAAATCTTTACAAAACCCCTCACACGTCTCCTTAAAATTATTTCCACCCATTCATAATCACCGCCTCCCCCTCAATCGTTAATCACGAAAAGTACAAATGTGGCCTACAGTCTATTGGAGTACGCCGGCCCCTACATGATCTCAAATAGAGATCTAATGCTGCTTTATCTCAATTAAAAAGGCACCGTTTCTTCTCACCTTCGATCTTAAACAGAGATCTTATATGGCTTTATTTTCATAGAATGTCGCCATTTGACATTAATGTATACCATGTAGCTATTATTGTATAATATTACCTATCATACAATCACTTACTACTACAGCCTCTCGGCAATCGCCCACTCTTCTATATTTGTCATATTTATTCTACTATCAATTCTTTTACCATCCAACTCACCAACTTCTACAATACTCTATAAATGATTGACAAAAATCCACACACTATTATTGCATCTAGCACATTATATTGCAATTGTGTACCGATTACATTAAACTCTTCTTAGTATTTTAATCAAATAACCCCACTGTTTGCAGAGTTGGGCAGTACCTCGAAAACTTGTATCTAAGATACAAGATACACACATTATATTGCAATTGTGTACCGATTACATTAAACTCTTCTTAGAATTTTAACCAAATAAACCCCACTGTTTGCAGAGTTGGGCAGTACCTCGAATACTTTATCTAAGATACAAGATTCTGTTGGAATTTGTACTCAGTATCTTTTTGACATTTTTAATAAGATACTAGTATCTGTATCTAAGTTCCTTTATTCTGAAAAGAATCTTGTATCTTTTCCATTTTCATTTTCTTGACAAAAGATACAGATTCTTTTTATGTTTAAAATTTTACATATCACAGTATATATCTTATTTTCTTCGAAGATCTTGTATTAATTTCCTTTTTTTTCACCATATTTTAAATATATTGACAACCAAAATTAGCTGGAAATTTACAACTCATGTTAAGGTTGATAGATAAAAAATAACAACACCAAAACGAAATAAGTAAAGATTATATTTTATATAAAAATGTAACTCGATAGAATATCATTACCAATTTTATGAAATATTTTTTAATTTGTAAGATGATTAACACTCATATTAGTGAAGAAGAAGGTAGTGAAATTTAAATTATAGAAATAAGTTCCCCTGAAAACTTAAAAATTTTTTTAAAATACAGTTAAAAAAGACAATGTACAGATTAGATGTAAAACCTATATAGACAAAAACAAAATGATAAAAGGTTAAACGAAATTTTGTTAAATATATTAAAGTATATTATTTATGTGTGGTTAAAAGGGCATATGTTATCTTAAAAATTCAAGTTTACAATATTGTCTACCTTTATTAAAAGCTGTCCAAGATGGTATGGGTAAAAGATATTAAGAAAATATTTTCCTATGATTTAAATATAATGAGGCTTTTCAATATCACATTCACATTTTAAAAACTGATTGAGTTGGATTTAAAAAAAAATACTTTCAAAATATATTAACGAAAGAAGCCCTAAATGTAGTATCAGAGTATATAATCAAGCTCAAACTATAGCACCAATAGATTTAACATCTAATAAATAAAATGATGATTTTTTTTGTTGAAACAAATGTTGCTGATAATACAAATAACATTGAATTGGAGGTTTTAAATTATATTAAAGAAAGTCGAAATACATTATAAATGCTTAATTATTATCCTTCCATTAAGGAAATTTGTTATACATATAATACTGCAATACCTTCATCAGCTCTAATTGAAAGTTTATTTAGTTTTGGAGTACGCCGAAATGGCTAGGGTCTAATGATATATTATTTGAAAAATTTGATTATCTTATAAAATAATGAATCTATCTTAAATATTCTTTTGCAAATTATTATTTATTTAGTTTTGGAGTACGCCGAAATGGCTAGGGTCTAATGATAAATTATTTGAAAAATTTGATTATCTTATAAAATAATGAATCTATTTTAAATATTCTTTTGCAAATTATTATTTTAACTCCCATGAAAAATAGTAGACTTCCTTCTCAATCGATATTAAGAATGGGCTTATACTAATATGAAAATGCCTGATTATTATAATTAACTCATCACTAAATATTATTAATTATTGTAAATATTCATTCTTATTATATGTGCATGTTATGTTCTTCACAAATAAATATTTAAAACTGTATTTTATAAACTATTCTAATTTAATTGGTAATGATAATTTAAAAATATCGTGTATTTAAGATACTCTACTTAAGCAAAAGATACAAGTATTTTTTATCTTGTATCTCTTTGATATACTAGTATCTGTATCTAAGATTCATTTTTTCACAAAGAATGTGTGTCTGTATCTAGATTCTTTTTTCGGAGGACCTGCCCAACTCTGACTAGTTGCAATATCAAACAATTTGCAACGAATAATAAACATACAATGCAGAAAACACTTACCGCTTCTTGAATTAACAAAACAATTAATTACAACCATTTTTTCTGATTCCTCTCCAATTATTCACCACTCCATACACCATTTTTTTCAAACACTGCTATTAACCCCTACCGTTAATCAACTATACTTTCTACTAAACCACCATTATTCACCCCCACTATTACAATTAATTACCATCAGCTTGATTACCACAACACAATTATTCATTATCTGATCCCAATTCACTATCTATCGATTATACTGCTATTATTCAGAGTGCGCAAACTCATACTCTTCAACTACTTATATATATAATATATATATAAAATTATTTTTCGGACACGGGACCAACTTTCACGTGGTGTGTTATATGACAAACTTAAATAAAACTCTATATTTGAAATTGATTTTCGCATAACTCTTAATTATTATTCGAAATAACATATAAGGTACAAAATAATTTTATAATTGACAAATTAATTAAATATAAATTCTTTAAACGGAAAACCGAAACAAAAGAAACTTAAAAATTTTAGTTTTAAAAAACTAAATAATAAACTTCCTTTATTTTTGCATTTAAAAAAAACGACTATTTATATATACTATTTTATAAGTTTTTAAAACAAAGGAATTACCTTATATACAATATCGGGCCACCCAATTAAATATCCCAAAAATAAAATATTGCGTATATAAAATAAAAATATGTTATCCCGTGATTTTAATTAATTTTCATCAATTAACCAAAATTTTAGTCGATAATAAAATAAATACATAATTTAGTATGACATTAATTAACATTAAAAACATAAATGGTGATAGACATGTCGTAGTTTGCGGTCACATAACTTATTCATCCGTCTCGACATTTTTAAAAGATTTTTTACACGAAGATAGGGAAGACACGGATGTACAAATCGTTTTTATACACAGGTCTAATCATAATATTTATATTTAAAAATTGTATATATATATATATTTAGAGGTCTGCAAAGTGACTTAAAACCCGAGCCTGACCAGAGCCCTAATTATAAAAGCCTTGAATTCAATTTTTTTTTTCACTAAGACCCAAACCCGAATTTTTTTAAATTTGAGTGTGAATATTATAATATCCAAAAAACAATTAAAAATTATGCTTATTACCTTAAATAAAAGTTTATTTGATTGACTGCCATAATATAATCAATATTTATATTAAGTTGCATTTTATTTAAAATGGAAACATATATTTTTTATTCAGATTAAATATTAAAAAAGTTGAAAACAATGGAATTTAAAAATTATTTTGATAATATAAAATAATGTGCGTGATATAATGAACATTTTATTGAGATGCACCATTAATATTATCAATTTCATTATCACATAGTGAATAATTGTGATATATAAATATTAAGGAGTCGACTTAGGCTTTAAACAAGTCCTCTTATCTAATACATAAAATAATAACAAAATAATCTGATTAAACGGATGTTATGAAATGATGACATGTTATTCTAATTGACATTTTAATGATGAAATTTGTTAGATAAAAAATGACGTGTTATTCAAATTGACACTATGAATTTAAAATGATTATTTAGAATATTTATATTTATTTATCAGGTTGGGTCTGGCTTCGGATAGGACATCTCTTACAACCCGACCCGAATCAGAAAATAAAAAGTATTTTATGCCCGAACCTGAGCTCGGGTCAGGTCGGGTTGGGCTATGGACAACCCGTGCAGACCTCTATATATTATTATATTTTTAATGCCGTAGTACAATATTAACTTGAATTGAAAAATTATAACAAATATTTAAGACCTGATATAGATTATATACTAGGCTTATATAATATGGCTAATAAACTTAGCATACAATTTAAACGATTTGCTCAAAACTTCTTATATATAACTATCAAGTTAAATTTCTGACCATTATCTCAAGACATTTTAATAATCATTATGAGGTATATTATGTTTTTTAAAAATTGATTATTGTATACTTATTTAAATAAAATGCTTAATTATTTTGATATAATTAAAAAAAATAATAGGCATTTACCCGATTTGGACACTCTAGCTTTATTTAAACGTAATTTTACTACAGTCGAGTTTTTGCAAGGAAAAGTAACTGATCCTAACGACCTTAAAAGGGTCAAAGTAAGTAGAAATTATAGATTATTATAAATTATATAAATATATATAAATTGCAGATTCAAGAAGCCGATGCCTGCTTAGTGTTAGCAAATAAATATGCCGAAGATCCAGACGCGGAAGATGCTGCAAACATAATGAGAGTGATATCCATAAAAAACTTTTGTGCCGATATAAGAGTGTTGATTCAACTATTACAATATCAGAATAAGGTTTTAAAGAATTTTTTAAATATAATCTGTAGTTTTTGTTGTCAATTTCTAATTTAATGTTTATATTAAATATATCGAACTATTAAATGTATAATATGATTTAAAAAGTATTATATGATAATTATTATTTATAACATAAGGATTTCATTGTAAAATCATATTAATTTATTAACTCAAAATCCGAAAATTATGAATAATAAATGTATATTTATTTGAAACATCATAGGCTTATCTTTTAAACATACCAAGTTGGAATTGGAAATTAGGGGATGATGTTATTTGTATATCTGAATTAAAGTTAGGCTTTATTGCTCAAAGTTGTTTAGCAATGGGATTTTCTACAATGGTTGCGAATCTTTTTGCTATGCGATCATATAAAACGGTTCAAATATATTTTTATCATATTAAACTAACTATTTCTACTGATTCCCTTTTATAAATTAAGTCCTTAGTTTAGCTAATTTTAATGCTCTTCTAAATATCATATTTTATTGAATTTGACGTTTTTACATTATGGATAAATTTTAAATCAAATTCTTATTATTTATTAAATTAAATTCATTGTTTTTTATTTATAGAAATTTACCTCATAATAAAATAATTTTAAAATTTTATATCATCTCAAAACCATCAAGGTGTCATTTCAAACATAACGAGTTTCATTTAAAATAGGTAAATCAGTTTGAAATGGTACTTTCCTTTCCAAGTTTGAAAAGATTCTTTACCAAATAAAATGCTATAAATGTAAGCATCACAGCTTTCTATCTGTAATTCTATATTATTAATTACTATATTGTTGAAATAGCTTCCCAATATGCAAAAATGGCAAAATGATTATTTACGAGGTGCTGGTATGGAAATTTATACTGAAGCCCTATCAAACTCATTTTACGGAATGACTTTTCCAGAAGCTACCGAGTAAGTTTAAAATATATTGTTTTTTGCACTTCCCCCACCAATCAAATTTAAATTAATTACAAAACTGTTAATACAGAAAACCGTGTATAAAGTGATTACAATGGTTGTTTCAATCAGAGTTTAGAAGCCTAAACTAAAAAGGGTACTTGTTCAGTTTTGAATATTTTTTTAAAACGTGTTCCTAAAAATTTGAAAATGACTTCTAGAAATTTAAACAAAAAATAAACCTTCTAAAATGAATATACCATTGAACAATATATATTGTATATTATTGGAATCGATGTAACGTTCCTGAAGTACTCTACCTAATATACTAGTTTATTTTTAAAGGTTTTGATAAGTTGAGTTTTTTTTCAAACAAGGAATATGGTATGGATGAAAAAACATAACCAATCGGTAAATATATCATTATTTATTTTATTTAATAAGAATAAGTTTTTAAAATATTAATAATATACATCAATTGATAGGCCACACTTGTCAATACTCAATCAATCCATCAGATTCGACAGCTCATATGACACATTAAATAATTAGTTGACATGTCTCAGAGATAAGTAAAAATCCAGCTAATGATAATGCGCGTCTTCGGGCAGTACATAATTTATTTAACAACGAACGACCAAATTTAATTAAAACATTTTTTTTATTATAACATTAATCCTATTCCATATCTGGCGGCAGATTTAAACATACTTTAATTTCGTATAAGCTGCTTTTAGTAGTAAAATGTCAAATAGATTAGTTTTTAAATAGAGTACTTTTGCAACATTACACTGGTTCTGGAACCAATTCCTGAAAATTTTTACAATGATCCGGTTTATGGAAATTTTCGCATGTTCCAGGTTTTAATTTTAAACTTTGGTTTCAAATGCGTTTTATATTTTTTTAAAGTAAATTTATTAATCTTATTAAATGTCTAAATAATTTGTGACTTTACAGGTTGTGCTTTACCAAATTAAAACTCCTCTTGTTAGCTATCGAAATAAGATTTGAAAACGAGAAAGATGGAGTAGGAATGATTTTAATCAATCCCGGCCCTACCATCAAAATTAAAATGGGCACGCCAGGTTTTTTTATTGCTCAATCAGCCGATGAAGTCAAAAGGTTAAAAAATAATACGAATCGAAAGATTTATAAAACTTTGTTATAGAGCTTCCAATTATTGTAAAATATGCCACCTTGATATTACGGACGTTTCTATGATCAAAAAATGCAAATGCAAAAATAGTAAAAAAAAATTTTTTAATCTAATTTTAAAAAACCAAGAATAATTTTGTTGCATAATATAATTTAATATCATAATATACAAAGGTTATATATGTACATATTAATTTTATATTAAAAAACTTTGTATGAATATTTATGTATTTAAAGTTGCTAAACTGAAGCAAGGAATAAAGAGCGTTCAAGCCTTTAGTGGTAATATTGTATTTTATGTCCATTCTTATCAAATATTTGTCAACTTAGATTTTTTAAAATATATATCTTTTTCTTTATTTTAAAAAAAACTTCACTACCTTGATTTGTCTAAATGTTTCATGTCGTTCATCCACATAAGCAAAAGTAAATAAACTTAAAACTACTACACCTCAAGGAAAAGATACAAGTTTGTTATAATTAGAATTTGTTTTAAAAACTAATGTACTAACATATATTATATATGAATCTACAGAAAACTAATATGACGTTTTAAGAGTGGTTAATATGTGTAAAATATATTGTGTGAAGCCTGAATACTAAATACTTAATATATATGTGTGTATGTTTAAAACGTATATTAACTTTTTATTATGTTAGTGTGACCAATTTAATTTTTATATTTAATAATAAACTTTAAAATATATTAATCATATATTTTTTAAAACACAATATTGTTACAGTAGATAGTTTTTAGATTGGGAGGATTAGAAACCTAAATATAAAATAGAAATAAAAATATATACTAAAATTATAGTCTGAATCCTTTATTAAATACTAATACCAAAAATTAATTAAAAATTATTTAATTAATATAAAGTGAAATTATAACCAAAAAAAAAATAAAAAATAAAAAGTAAAAGTATAAAATACTAAAAATTATATGCGAAAAATTAAGTGAAAGTAAAAAAAAAAGTTTAAGTTCTTTAAATGATAACTTGTGTCTTTTATATAAAATTAACATCATCCGATTATAAAATAAAATTTCGTCTCATTATAATGAACTTTACATCATTATTCAAAAATTTATATTAAACAAAACCAAATAACTTAAAAACCATTATAATATAATACTCGTTTTATTAACAATATACAACATATTCAAATTTAATTTTATATAAAAAAATTATTTTTCGTAAATATTCAAATTTATAAGCAAATCGAAATAATGCAATCACAACACCCTTCCACTTAAATCAGACCCACCATTCAGCGACTGACCAACTTTCTTTCAATTTCGACTTTACTGATCGTATATCTCCACTACTTCTATTCTGCTTAGTCTCGAATGTCTTCTAAATTCTAACGATGGTTGTCTATTGTCTAATATTCTTCACTTCTAAGGACTGTTTGATCCGATTACAATCTGAAATTCTTGAATCCTTCAGTTTCTTGTCAACCCTGGTAAACGATTATCTCTTCTCTATAGGAATTGACGAACTCGATTCACACCTGTTATCACTATTCCCGATAAATTCTTCTAGTCTTTTTAATTATATTTCGTTGTAATTCCTTTTGCAATTTATCCTAGTCTTTGCTTGTTTCTAACATTTTCTGGTAATTAATGATTAGTATATTATCTGGTAAACGACGACGACTTTTGTTAACGATTGTAGCTTGACCGCATTGACCAGTTGTTCTTGCTAGTCACCTATTTCTAACGTTCTTTTGTATTAACCGATTGGCTCTTTAACTCGGTAAACGTTTGACGATAATTTGTCTGCTATTAACGATTGTTTCCAAGAATTCTGGTCTCTATGATCCTCAACTTTCGTATCTTAGACTAAAGTTTCCTTCAACAATTGGCGATATTAGTAAGCGCTTAACGATTGCAGCATAAATATCTCGAACATCTGTTCTATCTAGTTTCTTGTTTTAAATGTTCTCTTTTAATTGATTAATGCTTTTTCTCGGTATATGATTGGCTATAATTTGCCTTCGATTACTATTGTTTCCACTTGTCTCTATGATCGTCAACTTTCGTATCTTAGACTAGAGTTTCAGTAAACACTTGGATATATTGGTCAGCGATTAACGATTGCAGCATGAACGTCTTGACCATCTGTTCTATCTAGTCTCTTGTTTCCAACGTTCTCTTGTAATTGTTTAGCTCCTTTCATCTAATTCTTGTAACTGTATCGATCTTTTAGATTTCCGAGTCCTCTACGACAGTTTGCACTTGCCAGGATATCGACTTTGTCTTAAGATATCTTTATTCTCATTGATCTTTTCTTAAGCGGGTAATCGCATCTAATACATTTACCTAAAATAATCTATTTAACCCTTTATAACTTCTGAAATATTTTGTCACTTTCTTATCACTTTTTCTTACATTCATTCTCAAATCCAATATATCAATAAAATATATCATATATCCACTCTGTCTTAATGTATAAGGTTATCGCCTCTAATCTAATTTTTCCTTACATAATATATTAATGGCTTAACTTCGATATACCTTTTCACTCTCTAAATTAAATCTTAAAATTATAATACATCGTCAAAATACGCTAAATTAATTATACCATTATGTCAAATTCTATCACCCCTCTACCCTCAATCAAGCTCAAATCCATATCTTCCTTGGGCCATTTGTAGGTAATCGTCCTTTAGCTATCAATCCACATCCTTTGTCAAACATGTCAATCTACCGTTGAATCTATATCTAAAATTCTCTTGAATATCTTGAATCTAGAAAAAATCTTAGTTCTAAATTTTTATTCAAAAAAATCTTGTCTTCTTGTGGTACACGCTTGTTCTTTAAAGAAAAATATAATATCTATTTCTTTTCTTCTTTATGTAGTTCACGCCCATTGTTCAAAAACAACTGGAATAAATATCTTTATTCTTTTACACCAACTGACTTATCTTCTCGCAAGTCTCGTTGTTTCTCAACACACCAAAATTATGATTCTCATAACTCTCGCAGACTTGTTAAAAAACAAATCAATTATGTCTATCATCAATTTTATTCTATCTGAAAATATGATTCTCATAATTGTGTATATCATCAATTTTATTCTATCTGAAAATATGATTCTCATAATTATGTCTCATCAATTTCATTCTATCTGAAAATATGAATCTCATAATTGTGTATATCATCAATTTCATTCCATCAGAAATTATGATTCTCATAATTGTGTCTATCATCAATTTGTTCCTTTATAAATTATGATTCTCACAATTATGTTTATCATCAATTTTAAAACACAAAATATGATTCTATAATTCTAGCACAACTTGTTTAAAAAAACATACTTTTTATATTACCATTATATATCACTATCTTACACTAAAATTCTTCTTTAAAAACATCTTGAATTCTCCTACTTTTTTTTTTATATTTTACACTCTTGTAACTAGTCTTATTTTAATCAAAAATACACTCTTGTAACTACTAACTATTTTAATCAAAAAAAAGTCTTTTTCTCTTCCAAAGTATTTCGTATCCATATCAATATTAAAAAAAATTATTTATTCATTCTGCACGATATTTTCTTATATCTACAACCGATTAAAACAATTTAAAATAAATCTTATCATTTATTTTTTAGTATTTCCCTATTCTCCTCTTGTCTTTCTTTTTACTATTATTAGAATAACGTTGCCTAATTGACTTAAAATCTTATTAATGATTCAAAAAAAATAAAAATCCGATCTCTAATTGAGCTCGATTGCGGCATAAATTATCCAATGACGAAAGCCGTTTCTCTTTATGAAGATTTTTGGTTAATCTACAACCTAACATTCCTATATCAAATCCTTAAGGCTGTTTTATCTCTCGCAGCCCTTAAAATAAAAGTTAAACGTAAATCTTCAATAAGAGTTTAATTACAATATCAACTATTTTCTAACAATATATTTATATTCTAATCTTATTTGCCCAATTTTTAAATTATTATATCTTAGCAAACTATTAGTTTAATTTTAATATTTGCAATTTATGTTTCTTTTTCTTTGTCATAGTTATTTCTAGTGGTCAATTTATAATAATTCTAAAATCTAAAATATCATAGTCTCTATTAGTTTCAAAATTCAAATGGTTTTTAGTTTACCAGTAACTTCTAAATATAAAATTCCTAATTATCACCTTTAAATAACTAAACACAAACTTCTTTATATCTTATCTACTATGAATGCTACCTTTATAATTCTTTGTTTTTAATTTTAGATATTATATTCCTACATAATTTTGTAACATAATCTTATCAAAATAATTTTTCTATTTCAACCTACATCTTTAAAAATAAATCTAAATCTCTTTTTTATCCAATTTTTATTTAAAAAGATAAATTTTCTTCTTTTTAGAATACTTCTCTAAATTTTTTCCTACTTTTATTTACATATTTTTCTTGCGTTCTTCTGGATTTTTTTTTTGTATTAGAATACAGTTTGACACGTCTCCTTGTCCCACTGTATATATTGATTTGCATTATACTGAAAAATTGTAATTGCCCTGACACACTGTCTCATACAGCATCATTGTTACAGTAGAAAGTTTTTAGATTGGGAGGATTAGGAACCTAAATATAAAATAGAAATAAAAATATATACTAAAATTATAGTTTGAATCCTTTATTAAATACTAATACCAAAAATTAATTAAAAATTATATAATTAATATAAAGTGAAAACATAACCAAAAAAAAAATAAAAAAGAAAAAGTAAAAGTATAAAATACTAAAAATTACATGCGAAAAATTAAGTGAAAGTAAAAAAAAATTAAAAAAGTGGAAGTCCTTTAAATGATAAAACTTGTGTCTTTTATATAAAATTAACATCATCCGATTATAACATAAAATTTTGTCTCATTATAATGAACTTTACATCATTATTCAAAAATTTATATTAAACAAAACCAAATAACTTTAAAACCGTTATAATATAATACTCGTCTTATTAACAATATACATATTCAAATTCAATTTTATATAAAAAATTATTTTTCGTAAATATTCAAATTTATAAGCAAATCGAAATAATGCAATCACAACAAATATATATTAACTATGATCATTTATTAATAGCGGCTTTTACAACCCCAAATCACTAATAATTTTCCTCCTTAAATTTTTTTTATTTTTAACACCTTAAAATTTTTATTCCCTTATTCCCTCCTAACACTTTTGTCTTCCCTTCCAATTTTACCCTTTTACAATATAATATTTATCTTATTAATATAACAGTCAATATATTTTAAATTAGATATGTAATTGTATGTAAATTAAAATATATTGCAAAATATTATAACGATAATTGCATCATAAAAAATGCGACCATAATAACTTATAATTAGTGCTGTGAACGTTATTACAAAAAAAGAATACAGTTACTCGTTACGTCTGAAAAAAGGAATGCATTACCGTTACTGGTTACCTTTTTAAAAAAGGTACGCACGTTACTGAC